TTTATTGTCAACAGAATGTTCAAAAGGGACCATCAAAATAAAGTGAATAAAAATAAATCATAAAAATAATTTTTGTTTAAAAATCAAATGTATGTATAATGTATGAGGTATATTCCCTCATTATTATTAGATAATGCTTGTTCAAAACAATCACTTCAGCAAAATTTTACCACATTCTGTTTGCTTTTTAACATATTCGGTTTGTTTTGATAATACATTTTTATTCAATAGTCATTAAAATGTTCATTTAAAAAAAATGTACCCTGGATTAACATGTTAATCATTCAGGATGTACTGGTTCATTCAAAGTACCACCTGACCATCTTGATACTGCCACTGTGAAGGCAGAAAGTCAGTTGATGTGTTGTATTGTTAATTCATTTGTTCACATCTCTGTGCAGATCAGAGCTCATCGTCTGTGGCTCCAGCAGTGAAATCGGGCTCCTGCTTGTCTATGGATGGCCGCAGGCACGAGAACGGGCAGAGCTGGCATGACGGATGCAGGGACTGTTACTGCCATGCCGGGAGAGAAATGTGTGCCCTTATTTCTTGCCCGGTTCCCCCCTGTGATAACCCCACCATCCGATCCGGCCACTGCTGCCCCACCTGTCCAGGTGAGCCAACATTGCAACATACTTACATTACGATCTCCGTTGATACTTCAAGATGGATTTTACATGTTAAAATATTTATTATATCTTTCAGAAGAGTCCAGTTCCCATAAACCGGAGCTGAGTGAGGCGTCCGTGTGTTTGGCTCCGGGTGGAGAGTACTTTGTGGAGGGAGAGACGTGGAACATTGACTCCTGCACTCAGTGCACCTGCCACAGCGGCCGTGTGCTCTGTGAGACGGAGGTGTGCCCGCCCCTGCTCTGCCACAGTCCAATCAGAACGCAGGATTCCTGCTGCCCTCACTGTCCAGGTGCGCTGTCAATGAAAACCTTTGTGTTTGAAAAGGAGTGACAGGCCTGCTCTAACTTACCAAAACTTTAGTTTTGAAGCTTGTTGCGAAAACTTGGAGGTAATGGAGAAGTCAAAGTAGCTGTGATATTTGGATCTTGTACGAGCACAGTCAAGGGAGGCGCAAAAGCATCATTTTTTTAAAGATTCATTATTGTAAGGACTTTTAGAGCGTAGAGGCGTGAGACACCTTTGACGGGAGAAAAGTTAACAAAATGTGAATGTGCATAATGCATGTGTTTGGTGGAAATGATGAATACTGCATGGGCGCAGGAGTTCATGATCAACAGTCTGAGCCGAAAGGATGAGAGAATCAGAGAATGTTTCAGCAACTCGACTATAACAAGCTAACTCTGCTCTTTAAAATGTTCTCAACGCCGCTGAAATCATTTTCGG